GGTTATAAAATTTAAACCTGGGTAATATCTGGTTTTCCTGCAAGTGGGATTGAGCTGTACTTTTCAGATTGTAGCGTTTAAGCCTATATGGTGTCTAGTTCTCTTGTGAAGCGGGATTGAGCTGTGCTGTTTGGATTATCACATGAAAATCTGGATGATGTCTGGTTCTCCTGAAAATCAATGTAAAATTACCCTGACCCACAAAGGTATATTTTATTATATAACCATGAATAAAATGAGAAAATTGTTGACAACTTATAGAACACAGATTTACTATTTACCGGTGTTTTAATTTTATCGATTACTCTTTCAGTTAGTTTCTATGTCAAATTATTCAAATCTTATGAGAATCAAATTGTGAAAAGCCAAAAAAAACCCCACAGATTCTCATGAATATATTACTAAATTTCAATGATTAATGTAACTAAATTAAATGAAATTTGTCTAGTACCATTTCTATTCAAACAAACAAACAAACAAACAGAATTCACTTTACAAAAAGAAGCAAACTTATTGGACATTGAATTTTGTAACAGTTTAATGGATCATTCTTTTAGAAAGAGAAAAAAAACAAAAGAAATACATAGCGCTATCTGTCTATTCAATCTGTTTAATGTGTATCATATTAATATCTGTTATAAATTTATATCCATATGTGTATAGTAAGACAGGCAAATAATAAGTCTGTCTGGAATGATAAATCGATTGGAAAATTCCAACCCAGCTACCCTTGAATTATATATATACATATATATATATCAGAATGGAATTTGTGGAGACTCCATTGGTCACAACTTTTCACTAGAACTTAAGGAAATCATTTTGAAACGTAGTCATTCATGGATCGATGGAAGTTAAACATAAACACCGTTGGATGTCGGTCCACTGGTCTAGAGGTTAAACGTTAGCGAGTGAGACCTAAGGTCATGGGTCCGTGAGCACGCACTACTGAGAAGTCCTATACTAAAATGAAACGGCCATTCAATGCTTTCAGGTTTTCAATGATGATCTAGCTTAGATCGACTCATGAATTCAACTGAATATATATGTTATGCATATCCTACGGTCGATTTGTTTCGATTTCATAAATTAATCTGTATTTAAAACAAGAAGTTGGTTATGTTGATTTTGGAAACAATGTTTAATTTGAAATGGGAGAAATGATGCATCATGACAGATTACTTGGTAGCTCTTGAATATTTATTTATTGTTTTTACAATGAAATGAAAGAGAGTAAATAGACAAAAGATTATCAATGAGTGAAGTTAGTTTATACAAGGCTAAATACCATGGAATAATTAGCTGGTTAACTAGATAGTCTAAAAATGTTTTACCACGTAGGTGATTAATGTTAATGAAACCAAAAAGTGATTTAGTTGTAAACAACATAGAACCTGGGACACATATGTACACAGGTTCAAGTTACCACAACATATCACCACAGTGAAATTAAATTATGAAGACAGAACTCATAGGGAGATTCATATATATATTTGCTATTTTGGATAGTCAAATCATTACCAATTTCTCAAAGCATATTGGAAATTTGGTAAAGTTAAAGTGTACTGCTGAACCAATAAGGATAGAGAAAAGGACTTCCAGGTCATGGAGCATATATCAGCATAGAATCAAGTTTATCGAGCTATATAAAATCAGGTTGTTAACAGTGGACGGTATAGTGACCAATATTTGTAAAGAAAACATCACCAGATATTTACAAGATGTTGGATTGCTGAAGAAGATACTTATATGTGAATGCGGAAATAGAATGACGGTGCATGGGTGCACAGAAACACGAAACAGAGTAATTTTTTACTGCAATATTTTCTAGAGTCAAGATTAGAGCAAAGATTTGTGTTAGAGGTTAGGACTCGAGTACGATAGGTTCAGGAGTAGGGTTTATGGTTAAGATTAGAAGTTATGGCATAAACTAACTTCTATTTTTAATACTGAACCACAACCCAATTCTTAAACTTCAATCTTTAGGGATCTATAGTTGAATTGTAAAGATTTATTCATCGCTCATAAACAATATATTCTCCTTAGTTTTTTTTTATTTTGGAGTATAATCCATTTACATGCTGCTTTCCGATTGACTAAAATGGGTCAAAATATCAAAGTCCTTCGGTAGTATCCTTTCCACTTACTAACACTTTTTTACTGAATGAATTTTGGAACTGAAGTTGAATTGTTGAATCAATGCATCCGTTTTGTATACCAAATCACGAAGTTGAACGAATAACAGCTTGATTTTTCTGAAGATTTTACACTTAATATACGCAAAGTTATTAATTGCTATTTAGTCTATTGATGATTAATACTGGAAAATATCATCTTCAAAACGAAAACATACTTTTTAATACACCAAATTAAGTGTATAATTAGTAGGTCTGGTACATAGTCCAGTCAGTTTCGGGAATGGTTTATATCTAGCGAACTGGATTAAGCAGGAAGCTACTATACAGAGGACCAATAAGGACTCAGAGTTGAATCGACGTTGCTGCTGCTGGTCAACGCACCATTGGTTTAGCACAGAGACAAGGTCATATAGGTCGACGATCTGGTTGGCGACTTCGTCACATGATAATTAAGAGGGTCATAAATCATAACAGTCAAATGTATTTACATATAAACTGGAGATAACCAAATGAGCAATACCCAACAAACTTCACTTGATTAGTATGCATTGCATCTCATTTAAAAACCAGTTAATGAAGTGTCTACGAGAATTTTTTTCGTAGGTCAAACAGTAGAAAATTTAAAATACCCATTAAATACAATAACGTACTGAAGAGTAATTACTTTTTTCATATTAAGCAATAACTATAAGTAATATGATAATAAAAATTTAAGAAAATTATACGATTTCTTCTCATGATTGACTAGTTGAAAAGTAAAATTACTTCTAGATATTTTGCCAAAATTTAATGATTTTGGTTTCGAACCTCGCGAGGCTGGATCGTGGATGAGCATTGACGAGGGGTTCCACAAAAGGACGGAACGGCTGTCCAGTGTTTCCAGGATTTTAGTGGTGGTCTAACACCAATCGGTTCATGATCTCAATCAAATACTGATATTATATGATCATATTCATTGAGATTATGAACCAGTCGGTGGTAGGCCACCATTGAAAACCTGGAAGCACTGAATAGCCCTTTCATCCTAGTACTGGACCCCTCAGTAGTACGCGCCTGCGACCTCGCAAACTTAGCTTCTAGACCAATGAACCGGAGTCTAGATGGTTTAATGTTTAACCCATGGCCTTGGGTTCGGTTAACGTGCGCGGGTTCGCACTGTCAAGTAGTACCATGTTAAGACGAAACGACCATTCAGAGCTTGCAGGTTTTCATTGGCGGTCTAATATTGATCGGTCCATGATTTCAGTGGAACTCAATAATCTTTACAACCCTATAATCACAATTGTTAGTTTCTTCAAAACCATATAATAAGGACAATTAAATTTGCTATAGATAATGATACGACAATAGTTAATAACTTCATTGTATGATAACAGATCTCCGTGTAAACAGTATCGTGCTTCTTTCTGAATACTTTTATTTATAATAAACGTTTATAAAACTAATTTAATTAGCAAAATGACAAGTCAACAAAAACTCAATCATCTTAATTGATGTAGCATGATATAACACACTGATCAATTGTAGCGTTATTTATGCAATATGCGCACAATGTTCACAGCAATTTTTAAAGAAACGACGCATTACAGTGAATTCATAAAATAGTGTTGCTTTTGTATAGTCAAAATTTTGATAAGAATAAATAGACGGTTATTTTTTGTAGTGTAATTAATGTAATAAGTTGATAAATGCTAGAACTAACATTGAATACAGATTATTCATCTGTTCACCCACATCAACTTGTTTAATTGGTTAACATTCTATTAAATAAAGTAACAATTTAATTAATCTCAATGTAAATCATATTTCAAGTGCAATTTTTCGTCATCTAATCTTGAGTTACACAGTCATAACAGAATCAGGTGATAATACCTTGGTTGTTTGAACCGAAGTAGAAAGAGTGAGATTTAAACTGATGACCTATAACTACTAGTTGGAAAATGAGTGATTTAATTATGAAGATACTGTTGTCAGTAATGCAGACGATATGATAGGGCTTAGAGTTTAGTTTGATTTTTAAACCGATAACCTACATGTTCAAATTCTGCTTCATCTAATACAATTTGAAAAACCAGGTAGCTTTGATACAATGCGGTTGAAAGCCAAATATATATACTCCGTAAACAGGCTAGACTAATGAATGATCCCTAAATCTATTCGTATGGTAGAGAGCAGAGAGAACTCACTACCCTTTTACAAATGCTCTCCGACGCCCATGCATTTATAATTTCTGACAGGGAAGTTTTACCTATTGACTTCATGCATTCGAATGTTCTTTAAGGAAGTAAGAAAACAAAAGGTGAGAGTTAGCAAACAAACCAAGTTGATGGATACGAAGGGTCGATCTAGAGGGAGAGCCAGAAAGCCCTAGCTTCAAACGAATGGTGCACATGGGCTCCGTGATCCTCAAAGAACCAAAGGGGTACGAACCTATTTCCGTTATCCGCTACCACAGGGCGGCATCCTGTCTTTGATACTCTGACTTGTGGACTAGACCTCTAGATTGAACGTCCAGTGCATAACCTCCCAAAAAACCACTAGCTTCGGTTTAGGCGTCCGAGGAATATCCAACTCCACACATACAGTTCTAATAATGGTTACTATAGAAGTAACCTTTCTCATTCTGTTTCATAATTCACATAATCATTCACTGGTCATAAATACAAATCAAACGATACCATTCTGAAAAGACGTGTACAGATGATAGATATTTATTTTGATTAGATAAATATATACAACATAATATACATCGTCATCATCATTGGTAAAATAAACATGATGACATTGCTGTTTTTCGAATGACACAATAAGAGTCTAAAAGAAAATTCAGCATACACTTTGGTTCCGATAATAAATTCTCTGTTAAGTAGTTATCGTTGATGTTATTATTATCTTATTACCAATTCTTTCTCGAATATCGCGTAGGGAAGTTAGTAATTTCTGAATAAAGAGAAAAAGGTAGTGGGGTGCACTGATGTGTATTACTTTCATGAATAAAAATGATTTAAAAGTTTGTTGGCATTTTCTATACCTAACTTTCCAACTTGCTAGCATATCAATCATACTACTTAATAATATTAAGTAACCACTTTGAATCTAATAAATTTTGACAGAATATCGATTTGTGTTTTTCATTTATTGTACATTTTCAAGTATTTATATAAACTAATTCCATTCTAACTATTTATTATTGTACTTGCAACTTTTTAATACTTATAACAGTTATTTCTAATTCTATTGTATTCGTTGGACGTTTTATTTCACCAATTTACACTTTTAACGTTTTTCATACTCGTCTTGATATCAGGTAGTCAAACGCAACGTAGAACCTGGCAGGACAAATACTGGAGTAGCACAGGTGTTGACAGTATTAATGTAATAGGAAGGATTAGGTGTCGAAGATATGATTCAAGAAAGTATAAATCAGTGAAATAAAAAAATTATGAGGAATTCAGAAACTCAAGATCAAAGGGAGGACAAGGAGTGGGTGTGACTACGTCAATGCAAACGAAGCCATGTTAATCAGTCTCTAACTATTGTTTATGGAAAAGTAGTTTTCACTTACCTACATGGCTTAGTACAATAGTCATTAACTTCATAGGCTGGTTACTCGTCTTAGTTTGGCCAACCTTAACTTTCTTCTAACCTATTCCTACACCAAGCAAAATCCTTATTTAAGGTAGCTAGTGACTCAGAAGAAGTAACACATGTCCCAACCACATTGGTTGATGAAGATTTACTACCTCATTAATCCATTGGACATATATACCTAGTACCTTAATATTCTTAACCCTAGCATTGGTTACTCGGTAGTCCAAAGTTTCACTGGCGATGCTTCGAAGATACCTATGATCAAATACTCAAATCGACTTACTGAATTATTGTATCGATTTAGTATAATAATTTGGGCAGAAGTATAATTATCCTAAGCCGTAAGTTCTTTTCATTGTGTTTCAGGTTTGAAAAACCGATTTATCTATTTCTGTTAAGTAGCATCAATAGCCTTTATAGACACGAATAAGCGTGACTTACCAGTAGTACTTCGTAAATGAATTACTCATATCTAAAACTAACCATAGAATCAGGCCGTTTCTGTGCATTTTAGGCAGACCATATAGTCTTGGAGTAACAATTACTTGGACCTAAAGGAACTTAGTAAATAAGTTGCATTTAGATAATTAAATATTATATCAGATACGAATGACCTGCTCGAACATCTGGGTCTTCAGTTTTCAAAATATGTATTTACAACAAAGACATTCCTATTTCAGGTTTATGTCCATTAACTGCGTATAATTACATACTTTCACGAAATGTAAACAACCTATCAGAAATCTAATTACTGCGAAAATTAAGAAGTACCATCACGGTGATTCCGCATATTCAACGATAAAAAGAATTATCATTGGATCAAGACTAACTGTAAATATTCACAGATGAATATGAATCGCAACTGGTAATCATTTTTTGATATCTTTTTTTAACCTTCACAAATTCAGTGCTTCGAAAATAGGGATTTTGTTGCAATTCCGCATATTTGATGCTGTTTTGATTTTATTTTACTGTAATCAAACATGTGGTACTGAATAAAGCAAGTATTATTGTTATCATAGACTACTCATTCAAAACAATAAGTAGTATCTAGTGGAATAAATGATGTCTAAACGACAAAAAAGATAAATATCATCATCGATAAGCAATAGTTACCTTTAAGATAGAACATTCTAATCTAAGTTGTTCAACAGTAGGACGTTTGAAAGTTTCTATCGAATTATTCTAAGCGAAGAAAAATAAAACCAAGGCATAGGAAAACAGAGATAATTTAAAAGTTTCTTAAATAATCGATCAATAGTCATAAGGTTTTAGAAAAAGACAGTTAAACTACATCATAGTTAAAAGTAGCGAGTAGCGAGCAATATACTATGCTTTTCTACTCCTTAATGGTGTTCGAAATCTATCAATCAAAATGAAATCATTCAATTTGTGAAGGCTGGAATACTGTCCAGGAGCCCATACCAAAACAGGTGGTTTTCTCAGAGAGCCACTCCTCGAACCTTTGACCTACGTGCCTAATCCACAAGGCGATGGAGCAACGTTAGGAGATGCGATCTCATGGTAGCCGGTGACAAACAAAAGGTTCATATGCCATTTGTTCCTTCAGGATTATGGAGCCCATATGCACCATTGATTTGGAGTCAGGGTTTTCAAACTCCCCTAGGTGGATCCTCCGTATACACTAACCCGGTTAAAAAGTGGGACATTCGCTTTTCGTCTTCTCAATTTCATAAACAATACCCCCTTTGCGATAAGGAATAAGTAGAACTTCCCTGGCAGTGGCTGTATACGCGTGGACATGTGAGAGCATTTCTACAGGGAGAGCGAACTCTCCCCGTTCTCGACCGTACCATGGCATTTGGGGAAGTAGATTTATTGATAATATCTCAAACTGTGAAGCTTGGTGATCCTGCTTTAAATCCCACAGAAAATACCAGTGTTTTGCAAGAATGTAGGTTTGCTTTACCAACAGTGGCAATTATCAAGAAACATAGTTCAAGTAGAGTTTCCTGCTGAGCATCTTGTAAAATATCAGTGTGGAATTAAATCAAGCAATAAAATCTGCAAGTAAAAACAACAATAGGTCAATACTAGTTGTTATAAGATAACAAGACCTACCTTCTGTAATGATATTTTTTGACGCAACTCAATAGCTCTATACATAAACCATAATGTTTGTAAACAAACAGATGATATTGTAAAACACCAGGTATTGGAACTGTAATTGTTGTTTTCTATATTATTTATCTCCCCTTCTTTCTTGTTCTCTTGTTTAAAATTAAATGGATCTAAATTTAAAGACCATTCACATTTGACAGATTGATTTGTTAAACAACAATAAAATAATTGACCATTATTGCTATTATTATTTTTTACCATTAATTTAAGGAAATTTTCATGATGATTACTTGAACATGATATGGAATTTTTGAAAATATCTGTAGAAAGAAGGAAATAGGCGGAAAAAAGTGCAGATAAGTATCAACAAATAGTTGGCTACTTTTTATTGCATTGAATAAAAGAAAATTTATCAGAATGTAGGTTACTACTGGTTGATTTTTTTGAAGGCAGAAAAATGATAAAAGCCTATAAGTGTGTTAGATAATTTGCAAGGTAGTTGGCAAGAAATCCTCAGTTTTATGCTGGTTGGTATTCGTCAACAAGGGGTAATCTGTAATTTTGAGGGAACTGATAATTCCCATGGGATCAAAACCCACATTATCCAATTTCATAGTTTGGTCACATCGCAACTTCATCGGTCTAATTCGTTTAAAACTTAAAGGATTAAAAAAACACAACTTTATTCACGCACTAACCTGTGATCAAACAATTGTAGCTGATAAGTGTCTTAGGTAGATGTCATTACTAAACAGTTGAAAAACAAAATGATAAACAATTGAATATCAAGTGAGTGATGCAGATCAAAAATATTGAGAAATTAGAGTAGTGTATGCCAGATTTTGCAAGAAATGTGTAAACTATGTAAGAAAAAAATAAGATTCAGAAGTTTAACAATGGTTTTCTTATTATCGGATTCTACAGTTTACCTCAGGGAATGGCAATAGTTAGATAATCTTTGAACGGATGAAGAAGTGGACAGTTGATTTGTTCTGGTATGAGATATTTCAGCAGTGAGTATTTACGACTTACGCCAAGGATGAGCTCAGGACCTTCAGACTTCGTGGAAAGCCCCTGACCTTCGAATTAACAGGCTGGAGTAATTCTGAAATCTCACATCACGGAAAAACAGCCTTCCAATGCTTCTTGACTATTTTAGAGTCATAGTTAGTTCGTGATGTAAACTACAAAATAGTTTTCTATTTAATCCTATTTTCTGCCTTCAAATTATGTCAGTTTTTGATGAAAACATTAAATTTTTGGTGATGCATTACAGTAGCAAATATGGATTCATATACTCAACTTACAAGTTACAAGTATTATATCAAAGCAGATTAAAAAAAGAGCTGACTAATTGAACTGAAAAAGAAAGAACAGAGTTTAGACTTCTGATATGTTAATGAGAAAGAGCAAGTAGATTAGAATCTAACCATGTCAGAAGTGATACGGATACATCATCATAACAAAAAAGCCGGTTACCGCGGTATACCACAAATTATATAAAACTGGAAATGTTAACAGTTTAACCGCAACTCATTGAGGCCTAAAGTTATCGTGGTCGCCATAAGGTCCCCGATTCGAACCTATGGGAATGTGGACCATTGAAGAGATCCAAACTACATAAAAACAAGTTATCCAGTGGTACATTTTGATTCTTAATAACATCCATGATGGTCTAGCTTTAATTGACTCATGAACTCAACTATTAAATTACTACAATCTCTGCAAAACCCCTTTCTGAAATTCTTATTTATTTACTTATTATTGGTTTAACACACAAAGTCTGATCTAACTGAGCATCAAAATAAGTATGACCGATACAAAAATAAAGAGATGAAATTGTAATGACATAGAAGGGAAAGAGGGGAGTGTACAATCAAAAAATTAGTAGACAAAATTATTATACAATAATGGATACGACTCAGTTACATTACAACCAAGAAAGGAAGTTCGTCTTACTTTTATAAAGTGTAAAAGAAACCTATAGCTAGTGTACCACTGATTTCTATTCTGACTTATGCCAAATGATATCTTAAGCCACTGAATTATACCATCTTCCGGATTCGAACAAGGGGCAAATAGATACCAGACCTATACAGCTTTCTTTTATACCTCACCAATGTCATAAACTGACCAACTCTCAAACTTTCTCCAACTAATTTCAGAATTGGGCGAATAATGCACAAATTGAAATCTACTAGCATAACATTCTGCTACGTTTGAAGCTGTCACGCGTTCACTTGATCGGCGAACGAGAACATGACTCGGTGACCAAAGACCACTAAGCTAGCTATTGATGTATCTCAGCCCCATTAACCAGAGGGAGAAGTTCAAGCTTGGAATGGGAAGTATATTCTGCCAAACAGCCAGAAACGAGTGATAACAACAAACACAATTCAAACACATATATATACAGTGCAAAACCGTCCTTGGGGAGAGTTACCAAATAGCATACTAAAAGACGCAACGGACCAATAGCATTTAAGATATTTCCAAGTGGGAAATACGACACGTAGGTGACAAGAGCGCCTTTGGTGCGAAAATTTCAAAATTTTTAAATAAAATTACAAAATTAGGTCCTTTCCCAAGTGAGTTCTGGGGATCTAACGTCCCCAACACATTCATAGCACATATCCAGGCAATGAAAACAATCACTTGTTGAATTTTTGTCATCGTGCTTAAACTATACATTATCAAACCTTAACCATGATTATTATGATCCAGTTACTGGATGTTAGTAATCTCCTTTAGAAATAGTCTAGCTTAGATTAATTCATCATTTAAAGAGAGAGAAAATAAAAACAACTATCGATTTAGCCAATTTTTTACAAAAGAAAACTACCATAATCTACCTGATATGATGGATTGAAATACTGTATCATTAATATTAATATGCATTGTATGAATAAACTTCATTGGATTATCATTTACAACATTATTCAATAATGAATTCATTTTTATTTGATATAGAAAATGTATACAATCAAGGTAACAATGACCAATGTTTACTAAAATTGGTGAATGATTACATTTTTTTATAGTTTCAAATGATTTTTGATTGAAACAATCTAAATATTGTGGTATTATTGGTGGTTGAAATTCTAATTGAATATTCACTTGAAGTGTACTACCGTCAATTGAGAATATTTTGTTAGTATTAGTAGTAGTAGGCAATAGATTATGTTGAAAAAGTGAAGAATTATTCAATTCAGTTATATGAAATATTTGTGACCAATTTGTTGATGGAATGATACAACGTCGTAATCTGCACAGTTTTTGAGAAAAGTATTAATTACTTTATTACAGTGATATTTTAATGGATATATATATATATATATATATATAAAGTGATCATTGAGCAGTTAACCATGTCATGTATGTCTATGTCTTATTGATCAATAGAATTCAATCAGAGTTAAGGATTAAGCAAAGATGACATTGGTCATTGATCAATCAATTGTAAATACATCTCAGTCCTATAGGAGATCAAACGTGGTAACGTAGATTGAGAAGATAGGTGACGAGAATTTGAATAGCACAAGGAGCATCAGTTCTCTCAAAACTTAAAATACTGTTTGGTGATAAGTGCTAATTAGCATTACCAGTGGTTCAGTGGTTTTAAGGCGTTCAACTTTTGGGCACTAAGTAGTAGGTCCGAGTACCGCTCTACCTATTTCTGTCAGAACAAATAGATAGTACTACGAACCCTAACACTCAGTGTTGTTCGAATTCAAGTAAACGAATCTGTACTTTGTTTCTGAGTAAAAAACTAATATTTGTTAACGTTAGGTTGAATATGAAAGCATATCATTAAGCATCATAAACCAAAAACAACTGAGGCGATAACTTTTACTTTAATTAATAGACTACTGCGTAACGTGATTTATGTGGCTAAATCCTTGGATGAGCTATGTTGAAATACCGCAGAAATCATAAAATGAGTTAGTGAAGTTGTATCAATTGGGAATGTTGGGAAGTGTGGAACATACTTTGAATAACTATCTACCTGTAGATATTAGATGGGGGTTTATCGACGTAAGTGCTTGACTTTCAACTAACAGGTCACAGAGTCGAATCCCATTCCAACTACTTTATTATTACGGCATTATCTTTACTAGCGTTCGACACAAAGTGAGACTCAAAGCCCAGTACAAAATGGTGTATGTATGAATATGTATACTACTTTTAAGTATGATATTGTTTAAAACCAGGACAAAGTAAAAATATACGTAGGAAGGTTACAACAAAACAACTACAATATACTCACAAACGTTGTACATATGTGTATTTAACGGAAGACTACTCGACTAAGGGATTAGATAGATAAAGAAAGGTAGTCATTTAATTTATTTAGATCTATATATTAGTCTTTGACTCCTTAGTTCCAATTCTTTACAAATATATCTCTATACATTTTAGGGAAGGATTGTGAGAGGTAGTGAGCACCAAAAGTATGAGGACTTTCTTTAAACTCATTTACCAGGTACAGATTCAAGATTGCCCAAAATGAAGTGGAGAAGGGTTGAAGCCTGGAAATTAGTAACTGAAAATCGAACGACTTAACAACTGAACCACAGACACATCGTAAAAATTAGACGGATTTTAAGGTCGAAGATTTAATTTAATGAAAGTTTTCTCCTTGCTCTACAAATACGGAAATATTAATCACCAACACATAATACTACTGAACTGTCATACATAATAGCCATACTAAACCGTACAAATAACAAAGCCACCGAAACTTCAATAAACTACAATTGATTTTGAAGATCATCTGATTTCCCAAAACTACTTGCAGTATATTTTCCTCAAGTGTTGATATTACCTTCTTTTCATCGAAATTCTTACAAGCTCTGTTATTTATTTCTATCACCCACGGTTAAGAAGGTCTTTATTTATTGGTTTTAATATGCTTTCTGGAAAAATTTATCGAAATTAAAAAATAACTTATTAGTAAAAATGTTTCTCTATTATAGGTTGATAAACAGATAGCGTGGGATTTTAAATATTACGAATAGTCAGTCAATCAATTAACCAACAACTGTCTATGAACGATGTAGAAATTGGCACAGTGATGTATGGGAAAGGATGATAATGATTTGTTATTTGCTTAGTCACCCTAATAGATAGTTTGACAGGTATGAGTTATATATGCTCCTACTCCTATTATTATTGTGATTATTGTCGGTTTTGGTGTGGAGATATACTTACGTTCTAGTCCGGCTAGTCACATGTTCTCGATGTGAATTGTGTTGAGGTTTTGTAGAATAGATACTGGGAGGGTTTCTAGTGTAGATGTTCGTCTAGGGCAAATTAGCATCCCATTTGTGTAGACAGAAAAACCAAGCATTACAACACAGAGAAGTATTAGCTGCATAAACATGGAAGGTAACACCGTAATTTATGAACGAACCAAACAGGTTTAAGATAGCAAGTCTTGTATGTTGGCGTAAAGTTTATTTCTCTATACGGCTGAATAGCATTTTGGCATTATAGTCGATGACAGTTTGTGATGAAAACCTTAATTCTAATTTCTAACCCTGACTTTCAACTGTAAATTTCGATTCTAGTTTTTCAGACCTCCTTTAGACCCTAGTAGATAGGTAAATTTTCTCAAGGTCAATTTGGTATTGCTCAAAGGTCGTCCACGAACAAAAGCTTCACCACATGAAAAACCACAAAGAACTGGATAGTATTTCTTCCTACCACAGAACTTCCAACTAAATGGTCAGGTTAGACGTTCGCAACGAGATCTGAAGGTCTTGATCTTTAGGGAGGTCATTGATATGCACTGTTTTCCAATGTTTTTTTGAGTTATAGTATGATTACTTAAAGATGTAAATAATATATGAATTTAACGTTCTTCACAAACCTTCGCTATGCTAACATTGACAATACATTTTATAACACAATTCACTCACTTGGAATTATCACTATTGATATTTATCGGTGATGAAAACCACAATTCTCTATACGTGTAAACAAGTGAATGATGATTGTTGACCACGTTCTTATCGGTATCTGTGATTAAATCCTTCATATTCGATGATGATGATGATGATGATAATGATGATGACGATTCACAGTCTGTTCTAACAGCTTCCATTTTGATAACAATGTATAAATATTTCTCAAGATAATCAGATATGATATAATTCTTTGTATTATTCATGTACGATTTGAATAATATAATTTGCGCCAGATTATTTAGACTAATTTTGTTTAAATCGGAATGAAATAATAATTCATTAATATTCTCTCCTAGATTGTCATCAACTTTTGTATTCTTTGAATAAGAATTAATAAGAAAGAAGAGTATTCATACAAAGAAGGTAAATAATAGTAATGGTAATATTATTAGTAATAATAATAATAATAATTCCATACAATCACTTCTTTTCATAAATCTGAAAAGGTGAGAATGACAGGATATATGCAGAATATAATGAATCCCTACATCATATTTCGTTGCTTTTTTTGACTACACTACACAATTCAAAATGTACAATGTGACTTAAATGATTTCTTTCAAGGTGTCATAATCCTACTCTCCTAATAAGTGTGTTATGACCTTGAGTCGCTTTTACCCCGTGATACTTGTTATGACTTGACCTTGGTCGGTGTAGTCTAAATTATGACCTTGACGCGTTAGGCTGAGTGGCTTAACCTTGAGTCTAATATGCGTGAGTTCGAGATGGGGTAGAGAGAACTATTCTAAATCCTGATTGGTTGGCAAGCACACAAGTGAAAGAAGACAAGACAGTTGGAACACTAAACTCTGGATTCTCTGAATTCGGATTACTACAAAAATGTACATGAATAAATAAGTGCATATCTTGACCACGACGTAGGATAATTTGGAAAAATACAGTTATGCCCGAAACAGGGAATTAGGGTAGAAAATATAGTGCAAAATATAATGTTTAAATTACAATATTTTTGGAACAAAAAAGGGTATGCTAGTGAATGATACATAGAACGAAAGCTCGTGTTATGTAGAATAAGATAGGGACAAAAATAAATATAAGTGTTTTACAGGGTTTGAATGAAATGCAATAACGTCCCAAGAAAATAGCTTTCGTAATTGTCTGGGCTTCTTAATTCCCCGTTCATAACACCTTCCCCCTTTAAAAAAAAAGAAAAAAAATATGGTTAGTTACTATATACAGGTAAGTGCTGAGATATCATCATTGATATCTTCCTTCGGAAACGTATGTTCTCCTCTTTGGGTCTACCTGTAGAATATCTGGTCTTCTGCGTTTCCGTGATGCTTTCCTAATAGGACTTTGTTCAGGTTGCGTGGTCTTCTGAGTCGCTGAGCATTTTATGTCAAAACTGTCCAGAATGATTCTCCACATTGAGTCTAATTTCTCGGTTTTCTGTGAAGTGCCAGCATTTTCCAGTATGTGGTTGACATGGCGTGTCCACTTCTGTCCTTCAACTTCCACCACATACATTACGTTCCCTTGTCTCTTAAGTATGCGTCCACTGGTCCATTGTGGAGGTGAATATCGGAAATCGCGGACGTATACTTTTTGATTTTTCTGGAAAATTCTGCGTTTCGCCCCATGATGGCGATCAAATTGGTTTTCCATCTTTCTGTTTCTTTTTCCGATGTCTCTTTGCTGTGGTTTCATGGCATCGAGGGCAGTTCTTACTTTTCTACCAAACATAATTTCTGCTGGGGACATTTGATTTGGTGTTGATGGGTTTGGAGTTGTTCTGTAGACCAAGAGAAAGTCATCAAGAATCTCCTCTATCTTTCCCTCCCCTTTTGCCTTCAGTAGCGCTCTTTTGAAGGTATCTACAAACCTTTCGGCCTGACCATTCGATTGTGGATGGTACGGAGGTGATCGGACATGTTTGACTCCAAACCTCTTGCAGAAATCTGAGAAGATGGAAGAAATAAACTGAGTGCCGTTATCTGTCACGAGAACATCTGGAACTCCAAAACGGGAGAATAACTGCCGTAGCTTCATGATAGTCTGTTGCGAAGTGATTTGATTTATAGGAAAAATCTCCGGCCATTTTGAATAAGCATCAACACAAACGAGGAAGTACGTACCCTGGAATGGGCCAGCAAAATCAACATGTATACGCGACCAAGGTTCTTCTGGAGATGGCCAGGAATGTAGTTCAGCTTTTCGTGGACACTTAGAAACCTCAGCACATTTTCTGCACGCACGCACGAAATCTTCGATGTGTTCATCGATATTAGGCCAATATACATAACTTCGAGCAATAGCTTTCATTCTTCCAGTACCTGGATGGGCTGTATGCAGTTGTTTCAGGACGAGTGAGCGTAAGTTATACGGAACCACTACGCGATCAGCAACCATAATACAGTCATTTACGATGGATAAAGATTGGCGTCGTTGATAATACTGTTTCAGTTCATGAGATGTTATACGTGGGGGCCAACCACGCTGGATAAATGTAGATAATCGTCTTAAGATAGGATCGCGGCGAGTGTGTTCAGCGATTCGAGCAGCTGTCACTGGAAGAATTTGTGTTGAATTAAACAACATTCTGCTTACATCTTCTTCCACTGATATAGAAGCGATAACAGTATCTTCGTTTTCAAGCTTATGATTGCTTATTAAGCGCGATAATGCATCAGCATGGCCAAAATCAGAGGTAGATTTGTATTTGATAACGAAATCATAACCCAATAGCATTGTAGCCCATCGTTGGAGGCGGTTTGCGGTATAAACTGGTATACCTTTCTTAGATCCGAAAATTGATAATAGGGGTTTATGATCAGTGATTAAGGTAAATTTTCTGCCATGCAGCATCTTGTGAAACTTTTTTACTGCGAAAATTAATGCCAATCCTTCTTTCTCAATTTGGCTGTACTTGCGTTCTGCTGAAGTCAATGTTCTGGAAGCATGTGCGATAGCCTTTTCTTTTCCATCTGGAAACTTATGGGATATGACGGCACCGATACCATAGTCAGAAGCATCTGCAGCAACAACGATTTCCAGCGAGGGATCAAAATATGTAAGAAGTAGATCCGACGTTAATAATGACTTTACTTCGTCAAAACATTTTTGACACTTAGTGGACCAATTCCATTTTACATTACTGGATAATAATTGGTTCATGGGTGCCCGGAGGCGATGCAATTGTGGCAAGAAATTACTGTAATAACTGATAAGACCAAGGAAGGAACGCAGAGTTGCTACATTAGATGGGGGAGGCATATTTTGGATAGCTCGTACATTTTCCGGATCCGGGCGTCGTCCATTTTTGTCGAAAACAAAACCAAGATATTTCACCGAGTTCATGAAGAATGTACACTTCTCTTCTTTTAGATAGAATCCACACTCAGATATTTTGGTTAAAACAGTATCGAGTCGATTGAATAACTCGGACTTACTGGAACCTGTAACGATTACATCATCCAAATAGACAGCGACTCCTGGCAAATTAGCCAACATAGTGTCCATTATTTGTTGAAAGATAGCTGGTGCTGGTTTCACACCAAAAGGTAAACGCTTATATTGGTAAAGACCTCTGTGGGTGTTAATCGTCAGTAATGGTTGGGAGGCTGGATCGACTTCTATCTGAAGATATGCGTCAGCAAGGTCAATTTTAGCAAAATACTTTCCTCCATTTAGTTTGATGAATAAATCTTCCTGTATGGGAAGTGGATACGTGTGATCTTCTAGAGCACTATTCAGACCAGTGGAAAAGTCAGCACATATGCGAACAGTTCCATTTGCTTTTCTCACGACCACTATGGGGGCAGCCCACGATGAATAATTTACTGGCTCAATGACACCTAGTGCTTCTAACCTGTCCAATTCTTGGTCAACGACTGACAGAGCAGCATAAGGCACTGGTCGTTTCGGTCTGAAAATGGGCTTTGCATTTTCCTTTAGTGATAAGGATACTTTGGTGAATTTATAACAGCCCAGTTTGTTTTGAAATACACATGCATGTTTTTGTCGAAGATGATTTATGTAAGATACGGACGACAATTGAGAGGAAACAGAAGACTTTGATGTAGACATAACATTAGAACGAAGTACATGAGATTCCGAAGTTTCACTAGCGCATACTTTGTCTGAAGTATTCGATTTGGAAATTTTATGAGAAGGCAATGAATCGGCGGTATTTGATTTGACATGGTGAGAACACATAACATTTGAATTGTTTGATTCAGAAAGATCATAAGAACATGTTTCATCAGAAGCATTTAATTCGTTAATATCCAGAGAGGATGATTCGTCGGAGGCATTTGATTTAGAAATATCATTAGGGATTTGGATAGAATCATAGGAAACATTTTGAGAACATACCTCATCTAATAATTTATTCAAAGTATCAACATGTGCAATCCAATCTAATCCCAATAGATCTAAATCGTGTCGATTTGTTAGATAACAAACATCTGTAAATTTACTTCCCATAAGTTGAACATTGCATAGAACCTCTCCTGTCAACTTTACTATGTCTCCTGACGCATTTCGGGCGACATGTTCCGTCGGTCGGATGGATGGGCATCCTAACTTGTGCCATGTGTTCTTTGAAATCAACGTGACATCAGAAGCAGTGTCCAACTGAAGTCGTATAAGTTTTTCATTTACTAATAAATTTACGAATTTCCGCCTACTTTTAAATCCAACTTTAAAGGTTGCAAACGTGGTTTTAATTTGACTGTCTGATCGTTGCTTTGAATTTTCACTACGATGTTTAGTCTTGCGTTTATTTAACGAACAATGACCTTCTTTGTGGCCAATGCGATGACATTTGCGGCATTTATGATTCTTAAACGGACAGAATTTTGCAAAATGCCATGCTCCGCAGAACCAGCATGGTGATGGGGGGTTGGCAGGTTGTTTCCTGCTTGTACAGTTTTGTTTCGATGATTTTATGGATCGGAGCGCATTAATTGAATCAGAACCGGAAGGTTTAACTGTTGGGATAGTCGGAGAAAGAGACCAATAGTTACCATGTTAAGTTCAATGGTGTCCTTGAACCTTAAATGTACATTTCTTATTGGTCGATGTTTATTTCATTTGTTAAATATTTTGTAAATGTTGTTTCCTATTTTATGGTACGATGTGGGTTGTTTGCTTGGTATATAAATGGAGTATGTTTGAAATACAATGATTCATAACTCAGAGGCTGTGACTTGCGTTCTTCACTCAACTGGCTGGGACAGACAGCGGAGCGGGACCAATCAGGGCACTAGGTCGTTCATACGTGTTTTCCGTGTCCACTGTAGGCGATCGATAAATACGCTGCTTATCAAACCCTGCAGCCACACGCTCGCGTTAC